CGTTGTAGAATTTGCGATATGTTGTCGTTCTCTTGTTTTGGTTACACTATTACCTATGGAGACCCGTAATACTGAATTCGTTTAAACTATTTCGGTTCTCCTGAGTATCAATGAATATCTTTGTTATTAAGGGTATGGTGTTTACTTGACGTAGGGACAGGTGTACAATGGCAGATTATTGCTAGAGCCGTCAACAAATACTTGCCTTGGGGCGACAGCAATGTCCTCCAACCCCTGAATGTATTTCAGGCGCTCCATGCCTTTTTGGAAGTATAACCTCCACCTCCTTTTAAGCTTAACAAGGACTGGTGGGGCTAAAGAGCCTAAACCTGCACCCAATCCTGTCCACGTTAGGACGAACTGTTCTGATGGTGAACATTGTGGAAGAACGGCCAATCGTCCCTGCAATAACAGTTTTGAAAAACGATCATTATTTCTCTGTCCTCTATCCTCTATCTGCTGAGACATCAGGGGCACCCAGCGACATTATTCTGTAAAATAACTGTTCCAAGGACAACCGTTCCATTCGTGTGAAATATTTGGAGGTTCTCTAACACACTAACTACGATTTTCGGAGGTTTTGTTATCCATTTTTTTTTAAATATGGATAACTAATAAAATACTAATATATTGCGTCTAATAAAAAAGGTCTCCTAAAAATTTCGGTATAAAGAGAAAACGTCCCCTGCAGCTTTCTAAATTTGAAATTAAGGCTCCTTCATGCCCTAAAACTTTTGCCGGACCCATAATGGTAGTTAACACTTTCGGATGAGACGAAAAAGACACCTATACTTAGACTTTCGTGACGACCAAAGTTCCTCTGAGACATCCAAACAGATCAATAGTTTTAGGGCAACACCAAATTAACCTAACAGGCTTCTAAATCACAGAGAAAACTATTTGAGACACTTCTGGCGTATTCGGAAACATTCGGCCATGGGGTGCCTAATTGAAAAGTTAACGTTTGTTTGGCCATTTTTTTTTTCTCAAAGCTTTTCACCGAAGAAGCTTAAGTCAACAGTAACTGAATTTTTTCTGGCTATGAATAATCGACTTAAATTTTTTTTGACCCACCTTCTCTGACTTCCACAGAATTCCCGTTCTTTCACTTTCCATTAAAGATATGTGGCGTTCATTTTTTTCTTTTTTGTGTTCCAGCACTTCCCCTTTTCTACAATGCTGCCCGCAGCCACGTACGGGGCATTGCTTCACGACTTTGAGGCAATCCAAGCAATGTGAAGGAATAAAATTCCTGAAAATAAAGAAGTAAGCATATTGTTAACTTCAAAGGTCACAGATCGTCAGTCACTCTAATCCATAGAACGTTGTTATGAAAAGAAAAGAGTGTATTACATTCGTGGTCAAGTATTACATTTGTGGCTTCAACAGTTCATTCCCAGGGCGAGTACCCTTCGAGCACAGGCCCTTCGATCTTCCTAGATAACTCGAGAAGAGAAAGGAGCATTTCCTCGCAGGGTACGGGGGCTGGTACTCCTGGAAATTCTTGGTGGGAGTGTGCCTCTTTGTTCTCCAAGACTGAAGTCAAGCTGTCATTAATTAGATTAGAGCGCAAGTTTTTTTTCAAACCCATTCCGAATTCGCGTATTTCTATTTCTTTCTTACTCATTTGGAATGGAAACGATAGATACGTTCATACACTCCCGTAGTTCCCTCGAAAACCATACCCGATTCCAGACCAAAATGAGTAAAGTGTATACCCGTTTTCATACCAAAACGGCGCAAAAACCCTACCCGATGGGGCGGCAAATACGGGAATCCATCGAGCGAAATGTGCGACACACGCAAAAGATTACGCGCGTGACTGAAGTTGCGAGACAGGAGAGAGATCGCCTCTCGCCGCTTGGGTGCGCGCGTGCACTCTCTCCCCCATTTATTCAAATACCAGCATGTTGTTTGAAAAAACCCTACAAAAAGGATTCGAAAGTACAGCAATGATTTTCGCGACGCAGTATATACGCGACAACAAATCCACTTAAGATCCACATATACGCTGCTATACGAGATATATTGTGAAGTGAGAAAATTTTAAAACAAAACTTTCCTCACTTTTACGGAGTCAAGACATTCATTTCTCCTAGAAGTTAGCCTGTTCCAGTCTCTGAGATAGTCAGGTCCACGAAACAAACAGCGGGTGGAACCTCGAAATCGAGAATGTGCCGACACAAGAATAAGATCAGGCGCTTGTACTATCGCCTACCTTTCACTTACGCGTTATCCCTATGTTCTGAGATCCTGTGTACTCAAGCTACCGAGCATTTCAATCATTTTAAGTTACTTTTTAAATGCATTTTTACCTTTGGACGGTCGATCCACAACCTAGCCGAAATTGGACTTCGGCCAACCTGCACACCTCTCTATGTTGCTCTTGACCCTGACAAAAGATTTTAAGCGAGCATCGGCAAGTTATCTTGCTCTTTGGGCAACTTCCATGGTGGACTGTGTTGTCCTTCGCTTTATTGAAGCTTGGCACTGCCCGCATGGTACTTCGATCTCCCCGCAGTCTTTAGTGACGGGGGTCTCGACTTCATTCAACGCCACTTCTTGGCTGCAGCCCTTGCAGGTCGCCTTTACATTTCCCAGCAATTGCTGGGCAAAGATGTTGCGGCAATTAAAGCCTAGCCTGGGCTGTCTGCAGATATGGCAGTTTTTTACGCCATTCTTTACTAGCTGGTCAGCACAATGCCCGCAAACTGGGTGACCACATGGATTGGCGATTTGTGGGTCGACCATCGGATACGTACTGAAATGGATAGCCTGTTCCCGGCGTTCAGATAGTAGAGCGCGGGAGAAAAATTCACGAAGAAAAAAAGAAAAAAAAAAACAACAACTTAACTCGCTCCCCACCTACCGCCGCGCTCTACTATCTGAACGCCTGGAACAGGCTATGAAATGGAAAGAATCAATGTCAAGTGTCAGACGTAACCTTTGTCCCCGAAACAACCAGTCAAAAGAATTTTACTTTTCCTACCAAATTTCACAAATAAACTCTTTTGGGACGCTGCTTACATCCACGTTTTTGAACAACTGTTGAGACAACATGTATGGCAGGTTGTCTCAGGTATACCACGTCCGCGTTATGATATAGCTGTAATCTGAGATGATTAAAAGGAGGGGAGCGTAAGGGGGGTCCGAAAACCGCAAAACCGCACAGAAATACGCCAAAAACCGCAAACCGCATCGGATTTTTTCCCGAATACCGAAACCGCGCGTACATGTAGGCCACAATATGAGAGCTGACGTCAGCAAGACTTGTGATATATTCTGATAACATTGTGCGTTAGTATTAAACATACCATCATAACGCTAACGAAATATTGTACTACACTATTATACTCTATTTACTACTAACTAAATGCCAAGTATGCTGGTCATGTACTTGAACGAGTATTGATATCTCCCTTGACTTTGAAAAACTCTGTCACTGATCCTGTCAGCTTACATTGGGTGACTGATTACTTTGGACGACCCTGTGCTAGTTGTGGAACGCGGAATAAATGTTTCTTCTGGAATTGTGACCTTCTTGTCTCGTAAAGAGTTCACGTTCAGTGGAGAAGACAATTGTTAAAACGTACAGCTCTTCTGAAATTCTCCCCTTCCTTTCCTTCTTCATAGAAGATTGCCACGCAATTAATTCACCAGTTACGTCCTCATCGCTTTCAGTTGCGACCTCGACGACCTCAGTTGCCATTGCCGCGCATTGAATCAAAGCAACGAGAATACAAAGCTGTACGAGCTAACATCCGGCATGGAATTTCTCGAAGTCGACGCATCATTAGCCAAAACGGTTAATCACATTTAGTATTAACTGGAAAAGGCCGTAATTCCAAAGCACAGAGTTAAATTGTAAGCTGATATGATGAACCCTGATGCGTTGTAAAACAAAACACTTGGCTCGCGCTAAATAAATAAATCATCCAAGATTCGGTTCTCCAATTAATGTCGTCGCTTCTCTGGAAACCGATTTTTTTTAGTTATGTTTATTTCATTCTATTTTTTTTACCTCAACGTTTTCGGGTACGCACGTGCAAACCGTGCGTACAAGTAGCTACGCCCCTGTTTAGTCTCCTTAGCCCTGAGCGTTCCTCTCTTGCGGTTTTCGCGGGAGTTCAGGATGTGGTCCACCCAGTATTTCACGTCTCTTTTAAATGAGAGGCAGCACTTCTTGTTTACCGTTTCGTTATCAGACAGCGCTTAGGCTCTTAGCCTTTCATTTAATTTTGATCAAATTTTTATCATTTAGTTACTCAGTATACGTTCGATCCTGTCCTTGTAAACTTATACTTTTATACTTTAAGGGAGCTTAATACCTATATTAATTTTTTCTTCGTTTAGTGTCGTCCAAAAGACCCAGTTTTTTGGCATTTTTTAAAAAAGCAAGAAAAAGAAACGACAAGGTTTATTTTTTTTGGACTTAGATTAATTCTTTTAATCTAAAAAATTAGCATTATAACATCATTTCGAGGCATAAAACGTTCGGTGGTGTATCCTCTTTGCTTTTTACCCTTTTTGGGCCTTTTTTTATGAAATTGACCATCAAATTTTCCGCCATATTGAGTTTGTGTCGATTTGGTGACCATGTCTTGTTGTTTTCAGTCTCCACGGCAATGATGCTGGTGTTTCAGGCCTCCCGTTCTCAGATTTCTTGTGATTTTTTTTTTCACCCCACCGACCGACCCGCCCAAAACCAGGAAACCTATTCGACGCTAAACGAACGAAAAGGGGATGACCTAAGCCTTATGGTTTCTTTTTGGGCTTCCTCACCACATTGCTTCTGCGTGTTTCTGTATACTTGTCTTTTGCTTTGTTTTGTTCTTTTTTGTCGGTAAAATAAACTGAAACTGTACAAAGACCCTCAATATTCCCTTTGGAGGTTCTCGAACGCGCATAAAAAAAATGAAAAACGCGATGATTTATTGACCGCAAGGGCAATGGGGTGGGGTTAGGGCTCGTTACTGCACTCCGGTTCACTCGTACGCTGTCAAATGGTCCCGAAATACAAAATGAAAAATGACTGTGGACAGACTATTCACGTCTAGACATCAAGCATCTTTTAAGATGGGACTTATCGCCTCTCCCTGTTCATGGAGTTGATTCAAGGTGTTGACGTTAATTTCGTGATGCCCTGCATGTTGCCAGGACATGTTTCAAAAGGGCCTTTCCAAAGGTACGGAGTCCGCCGTCACCTTGTCAACCGTGCGAGAAATGATGTACTTCACAAAAACAAAGAGAAGTTATTTTCGATTTGCCCCGCCCCCTACCCCCGAAAGTCCCCGACAGGACCGCTTCAAAGTACTCCCCATGTGGTTGCGCGGGGGATAGTAACAGGTCTACCTAATTGCACCGTGCATCAATGACAGTTTAGCTCAATCAGAAGCCCCTTTTCCCTGGCTAGTTCAAAGTGTGTGCACCTCCTTTAAGCTGTTGTTTTCGGTTCTTACTGAAATTTTTGATCTTGAGGAAATTCACAACGACAGGAGCAGGTTATGGGCTTTTTTCCTAGCCCTAATCCTACATCACGGGAAATCCCTCAGGTTAGGCAAGAATTCGATCATCCTTCCATAATCATCCATTTTTTCACCGCGTGAATTGGGTATTTTTAGCTTATTTCGAGGAAATACTTTTTGCTTCAAATTCAAGGTGGGCTTTTAAACACATTTTTTCAGCCAAATAGTTTTTGCGAGAATCTGCTTACCCGAACTTTTCGCATAAAAAACGACAAATACCCGAAAAAAGCTCATGTTGTTGGTGGTGGTGGCATATTTTCGATAAATTCAGCTCAATGTCTCCTGAAGAAGAGTTCAGATCCGTGCCGCGCGCCTCTCGAGGCAAGCGTTCCGTCGAAATGCGAGCCCAAAAACAGGTGGTAAGCGGTCAATCTGTGAAAAGTAACGCAATCTCCGTCGTTTGAGAGCAGCCGAAGATGCTCTTGCCGATGCTGTCCTTGATGTTTTTTATTTCCAGTATCTAGGAAACCCATGCAAAGGTATGAAACATACACTCGTAGGCATTGTTCTGTCCGTTAAAGTCTAATTCCTGGACGCAGAAATGTTGTGCTTTTTGAAGTTTATTATTGTGCTTTGTCCTTTGACAACCTTAGGTGACTCGTGCGTTTGGTAGCAGAAGATGGCTAAACTCTGCTTTTCTTGTTGGAAAACGGCTTTAAATTTTATCAGATCGCTCGATAAACACGTTTTGGTTTCTGATAGCTGATAACGTTAAATCACTGTTGCTTAAACCGATTTCTTATTGCATTTTTCTGAGTTTTTAGCATCGACCCGCTGAGTCTGGAAAGCTCAAATTTCAGAAAAGTACTACTAGTATTTTTTGACCTCAAACATTTTCTTTTCAGTTGCCCGTAGTTTTGAATGTGTGCAATTAAGTACTCTTCTGAATAAGTTATTTGTTGTCCGCATTACAATGGATTTGAATTTTAAAACGATTTTTTTGGGCGACACATGGTCTCGGGCCTGGAAAACCCGGTCCGAGAGCCGCGAAACCAATAACCCCCCCCCGTACGTGGAAAATAATTATCGGATCGAAGTAAAAATTACATTTATGTTAATAGCTTACCTAGTGCTACTTTATGAATTTTTTTGAGAATTTTCGATTTTTCACTTTTGTAGACCTCTGGTCGATATTTACTGACATCCGCTCTTAAGCCCCTCTCTAAAAGCGCTTTTTTACTTCACAAAAGTCTTTGTTACAGTAGATCCCCTCGCGCGACTCTTTCGCTTGGGGTCATATGGGAAACACGTGCGTTTCCGACTTGAATATTGTTCTTTAATAATTTTATCATGAACGGACCTCTTCCTCTGTTTGCTTTTCGAGCTTTATTTCAATATATTAAAGGCATCAATGCTAGTGTTTAAAGTGCAAAAACGTGACACTGAATAGCCTACCACGTATACGTTCGTGGGGTTTCCTGCCACAAGACAGTCTACTTTTCATGACACAGGCCGGGCCAGTTTTTCTATATTTGTGGGGGATGACACTTTTGGAGTGTGTTCGATTTAGGGTCACAGTATTAATAATTGTTTCCTTACACCGAGTAGAGGCCACTTTTGCCTTTTATCGAATGACCTTGACTTGTTGAACTGGTGACCGCAAATAATTTTACTATAAAGGAAAGGTCCCCTTGATCACTCGTATCAGCTGCAACTCACGTGCAGATTATCGGAGAACCAGTATGCTCTATTGAAGTCAAAGTGTTGACAAGCCAAACACGATCTTCTTGGTAGTAGGAGGGTTGAGTTACGAGCCAAAAGAACGTCTGAGGTGACACACTTCGTGCAGAACGCGTAAACTTAGAAGAAGAGTTCAAAATGAACCTCGTTGATGTTACCAGACCTTCTAACGGTCCGATTAGCAACCTGATCAGCTGGCTGTACGAGAAAATCTCGTAGCTGATCCCCTTAGATATTTACCTTGTAATAGAGGAATGGTATTGGCTGAGAGAGATGCAAACCACGTTGATGGATA